AGATAGCACCACAATGTTACTAATGAGAGAGAGCACACAAACATGTTACAATGAGGAGAGAGCATCACAACATGTTACTAATGAGAGAGAGCACCACAACATGTTGCTAATGAGAGAGAGCACCACAACATGTTACTAATGAGAGAGAGCATCACAAGATGTTACTAATGAGAGAGAGCACCACAACATGTTACTAATGAGTGTAACACCACAAGATGTTACTAATGAGAGAGAGGCACCACAGTTACTACTGAGAGAGCACCACAACATGTTACTAATGAGTGTAACACACAACATGTTGCTAATGAGAGAGAGCACCACAACATGTTACTAATGAGAGAGAGCACCCACAACAGTTACTAATGAGAGAGAGCATCACAACATGTTACTAATGAGAGAGAGCACCACAACATGTTACTAATGGTGAGAGCACCACAACATGTTACTAATGAGTGTAACACCCACAACACATGTTACTAATGAGAGAGAGCACCACAACATGTTACTAACGAAAGAGAGCATCCACAACATGTTACTAATGAGAGAGAGCACCACACCATGTTACTAATGAGAGAGAGCACCACAACATGTTACTAATGAGAGAGAGCACCGCAACATGTTACTAATGAGAGAGAGCACCACAACATGTTACTAATGAGAGAGCACCACAACATGTTACTAATGAGAGAGAGCACCACAACACATTACTAATGAGAGAGAGCACCACAACATATTACTAATGAGAGAGAGCATCACAACATGTTACTAATAAGAGAGAGCACCACACCATGTTACTAATGATTGAGAGCATCACAAGATGTTACTAATGAGAGAGAGCACCACAACATGTTACTAATGAGTGTAACACCACAAGATGTTACTAATGAGAGAGAGCACCACAACATGTTACTACTGAGAGAGCACCACAACATGTTACTAATGAGTGTAACACCACAACATGTTACTAATGAGAGAGAGCACCACAACATGTTACTAATGAGAGAGAGCACCACAACATGTTACTAATGAGAGAGAGCATCACAACATGTTACTAATGAGAGAGAGCACCACAACATGTTACTAATGAGTGAGAGCATCACAACATGTTACTAATGAGTGTAACACCACAACATGTTACTAATGAGTGTAACACCACAACATGTTACTAATGAGAGAGAGCACCACAACATGTAACTAATGAGAGAGAGCACCACAGCATGTTACTAATGAGAGAGAGCACCTTACCATGTTACTAATGAGAGAGAGCACCACACCATGTTACTAATGAGAGAGAGCACCACAACATGTTACTAACGAGAGAGAGCACCACACCATGTTACTAACGAGAGAGAGCACCACAACATGTTACTAATGAGAGAGAGCACCACAACATGTTACTAATGAGAGAGAGCACCACCACATGTTACTAATGAGAGAGAGCACCACAACATGTTACTAATGAGAGAGAGCACCACAACATGTTACTAATGAGAGAGAGCACCACAACATGTTACTAATGCGAGAGAGCACCACAACATGTTACTAATGAGAGAGCATCACAACATGTTACTAATGAGAGAGAGCACCACAACATGTTACTAATGAGAGAGAGCATCACAACATGTTACTAACGAGAGAGAGCATCACAACATGTTACTAATGAGAGAGAGCTCCACAACATGTTACTAATGAGAGAGAGCACCACAACACGTTACTAATGAGAGAGCATCACAACATGTTACTAATGAGAGAGAGCACCACATGTTACTAATGAGAGAGAGCATCACATGTTACTAATGAGAGAGCACCAATCAACATGTAACTAATGAGAGAGAGCATCACATGTTACTAATGAGAGAGCATCACAACATGTTACTAATGAGAGAGAGCATCACATGTTACTAATGAGAGAGCATCACAACATGTTACTAATGAGAGAGAGCATCACATGTTACTAATGAGAGAGAGCACCACAACATGTTACTAATGAGAGAGAGCATCACAACATGTTACTAATGAGAGTGAGCATCACAACATGTTACTAATTAGAGAGAGCACCACAACATGTTACTAATGAGAGAGCACCACAACATGTTACTAATGAGAGAGAGCACCACAGCATGTTACTAATGAGAGAGAGCATCACAGCATGTTACTAATGAGTGAGAGCATCACATGTTACTAATGGGAGAGAGCACCACAACATGTTACTAATTAGAGAGAGCATCACAACATGTTACTAATGAGAGAGAGCTCCACAACATGTTACTAATGAGAGAGAGCACCACAACATGTTACTAATGAGAGAGAGCACCACAACATGTTACTAATGAGAGAGAGCACCACAACATGTTACTAATGAGAGAGCACCACAACATGTTACTAATGAGAGAGAGCACCACAACACATTACTAATGAGAGAGAGCACCACAACATGTTACTAACGAAAGAGAGCATCACAACATGTTACTAATAAGAGAGAGCACCACACCATGTTACTAATGAGAGAGAGAACCACAACATGTTACTAATGAGAGAGAGCACCACAACACATTACTACTCAGAGTATACTCTGGCTTTAGTTTTCCTGTGAAGAGAGCACTACAACATGTATTACTGAGAGCTATAGCGGCGACGAGGACTTTTGAAATACTGATTTGAAAAGCATTATTAGATGATGAGCACTAGGCTGGTCCCAGATCTGTTTGGATTAGATGATGAGCACTAGGCTGGTCCCAGATCTGTTTGTGCTGTCTTGACAATAAGAGTTGACAAGACTGCAAAAGCAGATCTGGGACCAGCATACTGCTCATCATCTAATCCAAACAGATCTGGGACCAGCCTAGTGCTCATCATCTAATCCAAACAGATCTGGGACCAGCCTAGTGCTCATCATCTAATCCAAACAGATCTGGGACCAGGGTATATGAGCACTCCTAGGTAGCTAACAGCCGGGGTATATGAGCACTCCTAGGTAGCTAACAGCCGTCTTCGCCACTGACTGACCTGCAAACATCTTGGTGAAGCCAGCACTATCCATGGTCATGACTGGGGGCTCTCCGCCCCCCATCGTTCTTCAGATCAATGAACCACACTCCTGCATGCTCACCTAGAACAGAGAAACATCAACACAAATGTACTACTACTGAAGCATAGGCATACTGCCAAGGTTCAGTTTATTGTCATGTGTATAACAATATTGACCCTGCAGTCAATCAACACAAAACATGAATGACTTGTGGAGTTGCTTGCATTCTCCACCATGGTGTAATGAAAGATCAGATGATGTAGCACCTAGGAAGCCTAGGGTCGTTGCAAAATACAGCGCCTTCGGAAAGTATTCAGACCCCTTGACTTTTTCCACATGTTGTTACGTTACAGCCTTATTCTAAAATGGATTAAATTATTTTGTTTTTTTCATCAATCTACACACAATACCCCATAATCACAGAACAAAAACTGGTTTTTAGAAATGTTTGCAAATTTATTTGAAAAAAGATCACATAGGTATTCAGACCCTTTACTCAGTACTTTGTTGAAGCACCTTTGGCAGCGATTACAGCCTCGAGTCTTCTTGGGTATGACGCTACAAACTTGGCACACCTGTATTTGGGGAGTTTCTCCCATTCTTCTCTGAAGATCCTCTCAAGCTCTGTCAGGTTGGATGGGGAGCGTCGCTGCACAGCTATTTTCAGGTCTCTCCAGAGATGTTCGATCTGGTTCAAGTCCGGGCTCTGGCTGGGCCACTCAAGGACATTCAGAGACTTGTCCCGAAGCCACTTCTGCGTTGTCTTGGCTGTGTGCTTAGGGTCGTTGTCCTGTTGGAAGGTGAACCTTCACCCCAGTCTGAGGTCCTGAGCGCTCTGGAGCAGGTTTTCATCAAGGATCTCTCTGTACTTTGCTCCATTCATCTTTCCCTTGATCCTGACTAGTCTCCCAGTCCCTGCCGCTGAAAAACATTCCCACAGCATGATGCTGCCAACACCATGCTTCACCGTAAGGATGGTGCCAGGTTTCCTCCAGATGTGACGCTTGGTATTCAGGCCAAAGAGTTCAATCTTGGTTTCATCAGACCAGAGAATCTTGTTTCTCATGGTCAGAGTCCTTTAGGTGCCTTTTGGCAAACTCCAAGTGGGCTGTCATGTGCCTTTTACTGAGGAGTGGCTTCCGTCTGGCCACTCTACCATAAATACCTGAATGGTGGAGTACTGCAGAGATGGTTGTCCTTCTGGAAGGTTCTCCCATCTCCACAGAGGAACTCTGGAGCTCTGTCAGAGTGACCATTGGGTTCTTGGTCACCTCCCTGACCAAGGCCCTTCTCCCCGATTGCGCAGTTTGGCCGGGCAGCCAGCTCTAGGAAGAGTCTTGGTGGTTCCAAACTTCTTCCATTTAAGAATGATGGAGGCCACTGTGTTCTTGGGGACCTTCAATCCTGCAGAAATGTTTTGGTACCCTTCCCCAGATCTGTGCCTCGACACAATCCTGTCTCGGAGCTCTACGGACAATTCCTTCGACCTCATGGCTTGGTTTTTGCTCTGACATGCACTGTCAACTGTGGGACCTTATATAGACAGGTGTGTGCCTTTCCAAATCATGTCCAATCAATTGCATTTACCACAGGTGGACTCCAATCAAGTTGTAGAAACATTTTAAGGATGATCAATGGAAACCGGATGCACCCGAGTCTCATAGCAAAGGATCTGTATACTAATGTGAATAAGGTATTTCCGTTTTTTATTTTTAATAAATTAGCAAACATTTCTAAAAACCTGTTTTCGCTTTGTCATTATGGCGTATTGTCTGTCGATTGATGAGGAAAATGTTTTAGTTAATCCATTTTAGAATAAGGCTGTAACGTAACAACATGTGGATTAAGGGAATGCACTGTATTCACCATTTCAAATATACACTTTGATACCAGTCATATGATGTCTAGCCTGGTCCCAGATATGTTGTACTGTCTCCAACAAGGAGTTGGCATGATGGTACAAACAGTCAGGCTAGATGATGTCTGGGTTAAAGCTGAAAACACATATCTTACCAGACAGGTGGAACTTGTAGACTCCGCCAGTGGATTTGACAATGTCAGGGTTGAGGACTCCCTTGATGATATTGAATGTTTCCGCTATGGGCCCACTGGAGGCCCATGCAGCGCTGGGTTTGTCACTCTCTAACACTGTGATGACAACCTGATCCCCCATGTTCTGCATCAACTCCTCAGCCAGGAAGAAGTCTGGCAGCAGTGGATTCCCTGTAGACACACAGAGACAAACCATTACCACATCATCTAGACCCCTCCAACTCAACTCTGGAAGCCAGTTCCACTGCTTTTGTTTCATTGTTCCCCTCTAGCTAGTCAGGGACTGATTTAGGCCTGGGACACCAGGTGGGTGATTCCCCTTTAACCAGGGACTGATTTAGACCTGGGACACCAGGTGGGTGATTCCCCTCTAACCAGGGACTGATTTAGACCTGGGACACCAGGTGGGTGATTCCCCTTTAACCAGGGACTGATTTAGACAGGGACTGATTTAGACCTGGGACACCAGGTGGGTGATTCCCCTTTAACCAGGGACTGATTTAGACAGGGACTGATTTAGACCTGGGACACCAGGTGGGTGATTCCCCTTTAAATCAGGGACTGATTTAGACCTGGGACACCAGGTGGGTGATTCCCCTTTAACCAGGCACTGATTTAGGCCTGGGACACCAGGTGGGTGATTCCCCTTTAACCAGGGACTGATTTAGACCTGGGACACCAGGTGGGTGCAGTTAGTTGTCTGGTAGAACAGAAAAACAGCGGTAGTTCAGACCTCGTAGGGTCAGAGTTGAACACCCCTGCCCTTTGGACACCATAACCACACCAGGACCTCGTAGGGGTCAGAGTTGAATACCCCTGCCCTCTGGACACCATAACCACACCAGGACCTCGTAAGGGTCAGAGTTCAATACCCCTGCCCTCTGGACACTATAACCACACCAGGACCTCGTAGGGTCAGAGTTGAATACCCCTGCCCTTTGGACACCATAACCACACCAGGACCTCGTAGGGGTCAGAGTTGAATACCCCTGCCCTCTGGACACCATAACCACACCAGGACCTCGTAGGGGTCAGAGTTCAATACCCCTGCCCTCTGGACACCATAACCACACCAGGACCTCGTAGGGGTCAGAGTTCAATACCCCTGCCCTCTGGACACCATAACCACACCAGGACCTCGTAGGGGTCAGAGTTGAATACCCCTGACCTCTGGACACCATAACCATACCAGGACCTCGTAGGGGTCAGAGTTCAATACCCCTGCCCTCTGGACACTATAACCACACCAGGACCTCGTAGGGGTCAGAGTTCATTACCCCTGCCCTCTGGACACTATAACCACACCAGGACCTCGTAGGGGTCAGAGTTCATTACCCCTGCCCTCTGGACACTATAACCACACCAGGACCTCGTAGGGTCAGAGTTGAATACCCCTGCCCTTTGGACACCATAACCACACCAGGACCTCGTAGGGGTCAGAGTTCAATACCCCTGCCCTTTGGACACCATAACCACACCATCTCAAAATGACTCTAGAGATCCATCCAAGTGGAAGCCCATTCATTTAGCCTACTGTATTCGGGGGGGTTTTAACCTGGGATTTAAAATTCAATGTTTAGCCTCATATCACCGTGCACATACTTACCTGGAGCGATGGCGTATATCTCAAAGTCTTTAATGCCCTCTGTCTTCAGAATTTCCTTGTCGATGACAAAGTTCCCGGTGTAGCTGGGAGGCTTACTGAGAACGGCGTAGGCTGCGTCTGACATGATGTCAACGTTACGACACTGCTTACCCATGTCCGCGCCCCCCAGCATGTCCATAGCAGCAGTCTGGATACTGGAGGAGACGAGACGGAAATGGTGAGATTTCCAAATGATGATAAAGTGACACAGTAACTATCTCCACATCTAGCTGACAGACTAGTTCGCTCATGTCTACTCTGGGTCATTACAACTGGTAATACAGTGGAATGGCATCGTTCAACACGTACCCGTCTTGGGCCATAAGGCATTGACAGCGATGGACCCTCTGAACTCCTCAGCCATGCCCAGAACACACATGGACATGCCATACCCAGAACACACATGGACATGCCATACCCAGAACACACATGGACATGCCATACCATGTTAAGGGAACCATCAAAAAGATGAACAGGTCAAAACAACTCAAATCATTTGAAAACAAGACCTTTACCAGTGCAGAGCAAACAGATTATGTTTGCATCCCAAATGGCACCCTATTCACTATGGGCCCTGGTCAAAAGTAGTGCACTATAAAGGGAACAGGGTGGGATTTAGGACGCAGAGACAATGGATAAAGCCTTTCTTACCAGTGTGGTTTTTCAACCAGATTGGGTTAAGGTTAAGCGGTGGGCTGAGGTTGAGGATGTGAGGGTTTTCATTCTTCAACAGATGTGTGATGCACAGTTTAGACCTGGGAAAACAATTCAGAATGACATTCTTCAGAAAGGCTTCTTTAGGATTCATCCAAGATACCAAGGTAACAAGAATAAAGCCTGCTCACATGGCAATCCAAAGTTAGAATAATAAATGCCATTTAGCAGACACTTTTATCCAAAGCGACTTACAGTCATGTGTGCATACATTTTTTACGTATGGGTGGTCCCGGGGATCGAACCCACTACCCTGGCGTTACAAGCGCCGTGCTCTACCAGCTGAGCTACAGAGGACCACATAAAATAAAAGCCACAATAGGAAATGACAAATACATTGAGAGAAAATGTATTTAGAAAAGGACAGAAGTGTTAACAGTCAAGGGGAGGGAAAAAAACAGCGTCATGCAGCTCTCAAATGTGTTATTTTATTGCAACGCTGTTTTTTTACCCATCAGGTCTTCAGCAGCTTCAAACATTAAGACATTTAGGAGGACGTAGGTCAAGTCCTCTAGTCCTTAAGCCAGTTATATTTCTCAGTAACCAGAAAAGGATTCAATATCTGTTTGTTCTGGTCTTTCCTATCAGCTGACGGCCCTGCATCACAAATGGTAATCAGCTGACGGCCCTGCATCACAAATGGTAATCAGCTGACGGCCCTGCATTACAAATGGTAATCAGCTGACAGCCCTGCATCACATACAGTGCCTTCGGAAAGTATTCAGACCCCTTGACTTTTTCAAAATTTTGTTACGTTACAGCCTTATTCTAAAATGGATTAAATTGTTTCCCCCCCCCCCCCCCTCCTCAATCTATACACAATACCCCATAATGACAAAGCAAAAACAGGTTTTTAGAAATTTTAGCAAATATTTTAAATAAAAACAGAAATATTATATTTACATAAGTATTCAGACCCTTTACTCAGTACTTTGTTGAAGCACCTTTGGCAGCGATTACAGCCTCGAGTCTTCTTGGGTATGACGCTACAAGCTTGGCACACCTGTATTTGGGGAGTTTCTCCCATTCTTCTCTGCAGATCCTCTCAAGCTCTCTCAGGTTGGATGGGGAGCGTCGCTGCACAGCTATTTTCAGGTCTCTCCAGAGATGTCTGCTAAATGACTAAAATGTAATGTAATGTAATGCAGGGCCGTCAGCTGATTACCATCTGTAATGTGGTCCTCTGTAGCTCAGCTGGTAGAGCATGGCGCTTGTAACGCCAAGGTAGTGGGTTCGATCCCCGGGACCACCCATACACAAAAATGTATGCACGCTTTGGATAAAAGTGTCTGCTAAGTGGCATATTATTATGATGTTTGATCGGGTTCAAGTCTGGGCTCTGGCTGGGCCACTCAAGGACATTTAGAGACTTGTCCCGAAGCCACTCCTGCGTTGTCTTGGCTGTGTGCTTAGGGTCGTTGTCCTGTTGGAAGGTGAACCTTCACCCCAGTCTGAGGTCCTGAGCGCTCTGGAGCAGGTTTTCATCAAGGATCTCTCTGTACTTTGCTCCGTTCATCTTTCCCTCGATCCTGACTAGTCTCCCAGTCCCTGCAGCTGAAAAACATCCCCACAGCATGATGCTGCCACCACCATACTTCCCCGTAGGGATGGTGCCAGGTTTCCTCCAGACGTGATGCTTGGCATTCAGGCCAAAGAGTTCAATCTTGGTTTCATCAGATCAGAGAATCTTGTTTCTCATGGTCTGAGAGTCTTTAGGTGCCTTTTGGCAAGCTCCAAGCGGGCTGTCATGTGCCTTTTACTGAGGAGTGGCTTCCGTCTGGTCACTCTACCATAAAGGCCTGATTGGTGGAGTGCTACAGAGGTGGTTGTCCTTCTGGAAGTTTCTCCCATCTCCACAGAGGAACTCTGGAGTTCTGTCAGAGTGACCATCAGGCCCTTATCCCCCGATTGCTCAGTTTGGCCAGGCGGCCAGCTCTAGGAAGAGTCTTGGTGGTTCCAAACTTCTTCCATTTAAGAATGATGGAGGCCACTGTGTTCTTGGGGACCATCAATGGTGCAGAAATGTTTTGGTACCCTTCCCCAGATCTGTGCCTCGACACAATTCCTTCGACCTCATGGCTTGATTTTTGCTCTGACATGCACTGTCAACTCTGGGACCTTATATAGACAGGTGTGTGCCTTTCCAAATCATGTCCAATCAATTGAATGTACCACAGGTGGACTCCAATCAAGTGGAAACAGGATGCACCTGAGCTCAATTTCGAGTCTCATAGCAAAGTGTCTGAATACTTATGTAAATAAGGTTTTTCCGTTTTTTTTATTTTTAATACATTTGCAAACATTTCTAAAAACCTGTTTTCGTTTTGTCATTATGGATTATTGTGTAAATTAATGAGGTATTTATTTATTTATTTTTACATCCATTTTAGAATAAAGCTGTAACATAACAAAATGTGGAAGAAGGGAAGAGGTCTGAATACTTTCCGAATGCCAAGCCCTGTATTACACATAGGTAATCAGCTGACAAGCATAGAGTACTGCAGACAAGATTACACTGCCATCTGCTGGCATTAAATACTACTACTTCATTATTTCACAAAGCTTGCAAATGAACAAACAACATTTTAGTTTGGTCATTTAGCAGAGGTTCTTATCCAGAGCGACTTACAGTTAGTGAATACATAATTGTTTTTATTTTTCATACTGGCCCCCCGTGGGAAACGAACCCACAACCCTGGCGTTGCAAACGCCATGCTCCACCAACTGAGCTACATCCCTGCCGGCCATTCCCTCCCCTACCCTGGACAACGCTGGGCCAATTGTGCGCCGCCCCATGGGTCTCCCAGTCGCGGCCGGCTACGACAGCCATTAATTCACGTCTGATAGGTCCCTGTGAGGTCCACCTTCTTCATGGGCGTCTCCAGGGATACCGTCAGGTTAATGGCATCGTTCAGCAGGATATCAATACCTTTAAGGACCACAGAGAAAACACTACATGTTTATACCTGAACAACAACCTTAGAGACAATACTACAACATGTTAACATTAACAGACTGACACATTATACATTAGACATTGACACATCTACTGAGCATTTATCACTCCAAGTCTGTGTCCTATTCCCCATAGGGCTTTGGTCAAAAGTAGAGCACTATATATTTAGTAGAGCACTATATATTTAGCCTACTTTTTTCCTTGTCTTCATTACCCACCCTAATTCATCAAGTCTTCATTGCCCACCCTAATTCATCAAGTCTTCATTGCCCACCCTAATTCATCAAGTCTTCATTACCCACCCTAATTCATCAAGTCTTCATTGCCCACCCTAATTCATCAAGTCTTCATTACCCACCCTAATTCATCAAGTCTTCATTACCCACCCTAATTATTTTTCAAATGTCTACCGTCTCGAGACTTACTTACCCAAATTGGTCGACACTGACCAAAGCGGGTTTGTTAAAACATTTTTATTCTCGAAAAACCTCAGGTCGACAATTCCGTATCTTAGATGCTTCATCAGAAACAGAAGCTCCTTGGGCTGGATTATCTCTCCATGCAGAAAAAGCTTTTGATAGACTAGAAGGGTCATAACTCTGGTCTGTCTTGGAACATATGGGAATTGGCTCCAATTTCATTAATATGATTAAAATACTATATGCCAATCCCTCAGCCATAGTTATAACAGGCAACATCTGCTCCATTCAGAATCACTAGAAGCAGCAGACAAGGTGATCCAATTTCTCCTCTGCTATTCTTAGTATCCATGGAACCTCTTGCCCAGGAAATTCGTCAAATGAAGGAAATAACACCAATTTCCCTCAAATCTACCGATCACTTCATCTCATTATACGCAGACGATATTTTACTATATTTAACATGAGAGCTACACATTTTTTTCTAGCTTTCTCCTCTTCGCTGCAACTCTTCTCCGGGTCATTAGTGTACAGGAGAAAGTAGTGCACTATGTTGTCAACTCTTCTCCAGGTCCTTAGAGGACAAGAGAAAGTAGTGCACTGTTTCCTGTCAATATACCTGGTAAAATAATGGTTAATAAACAACTCTAACAGCTATGTTGTTGTGCACTATCCTCAAACAATAGCATGGTATTTTTTAGCTGTAATAGCTACTGTAAATTGGACACTGTTAGATTAACAAGAATTTAAGCTACGTCCCGGGAAGTTGGCTGTTTACAACACCATTCTAGTTCCAGATCACATATTGAGCAACAACCGTCCCGTACAAGGGGCACCGATCCTGTAGAGGTTGAAAAAAGTAATGCACTATATAGGGAATAGGTTGCCACTTCATCTCTGACGTCTATGATACAAGGCAACGTTTTGCCTCCCAATGCCTCGACTAGACACACTTACATTTTAGTCATTTAGCAGACGCTCTTATCCAGAGCGACTTACAGGAGCAATTAGGGTTAAGTGCCTTGCTCAAGGGCACATCGACAGATTTTTCACCTAGTCGGCTTGGGGATTAGAACCAGCGACCTTTCGGTTACTGGCACAACGCTCTTACCCACTAAGCTACCTGCCGCCCCTTAGTATCACATATACTTCAACAGTCATGAAACTGAAGAATGTAAACTGGGAGGGACTAAACGGTGAGTTTAAGAAAGACAAAGTTCCATGTCACAGTGACAGTCAAGTGGTGAATATGTAAAGATTCTTCCACACACAAGTTTGCTTAGAAACATAAGTCTTAATGCAAAGTTTCACCTCGCGTCTACGGTTTGTCATTCAATTAACCAAAAGGCATAACAAAGCTGTGTAGATGGTCCCAGGTAGTTTGGGGTGGGCCTGTGTGGTTTTAGCAGCTATGACGACATTGGCACCGTCCCTGGCAGCATTGAGTGCAATAGCTTTCCCTATTCCACGACTTGCTCCTGTGATGAACAGGGTTTGTCCTGCCAGCTTTCTGTAAGTCAAACACAGTAAAGAATGGGTTGAACTATAGGATAGGCTAGTTCAGGACTGTTGCTGCCACTGGTGGTCCTCTGTAGCTCAGCTGGTAGAGCATGGCGCTTGTAACGCCAGGGTAGTGGGTTCCATCCCTGGGACCACCCATACGTAAAAATGTATGCACACATGACTGTAAGTCGCTTTGGATAAAAGCGTCTGCTAAAT